GATCGCCTGTGAAGATATAATGCTCGGTATGGTTACGCGGGCCTTTTGCTTCCTTGTTTTGTACCTTCCATCGATATTCTTCTTAAACTGAATGTCCCTCATTTTCGCGCAGACTCAGCTCCCTGGCGCTTAAAGAGGCTATGTGTATTGTAGGGATGATCGTAGCCGAGCGGAAACAGGTATCGAACAGTGCGTCCAAAGTGTGCTGTTCGTCCTTCTTCTCCGGTGGCGTAGCTGAACGAAAACAGGCATCGAACAGTTCGTTTAGTGCCTGTAGATCATCTGTTTCATCCGTGTCCATCTCTTCTTGTGTTGGTACGGGAACGCACATGGCAGCCTCATTAACATGCTCTGCCGATCGTGCTACTTCGACTGTCTAAAAATTTCATCCTCTGCTGCAAAAGGGTACTTTCGCGTCTGGTCCGAAAAGTTCCACGTGCGGTGCTTCATGTCTAACACAAGACCGGCTTTGTGCAAGAACCGGGCGCTTGCCGCGGATAACCCCTGCTTTTCCGCAACCATAACAGGAGATTCTCGCTCCGCTGCGAGTTTCTGACTTCTTCTTTGGAATCTGCTTTGTCCCTTGGCGTTTGCGACATTTTGTAATCGTGTGTCCGATGTTGCCGCAAAAAGAGCAGGTTGTCCGTCTTTCCACCGGATTGCTTTCTCCCTTTTCTGCTTCGAAAATGTTAGCTTCTACGTCGCGAGCTCTTTGAAGCAGCTTATCGAACGTATTAATCGTTGTCCGTGGGATGCGTTCACGGATCCGCATATGCATTAGCCTGTAGAGCATGTCTATCTGCATATCTGTCGAGATATCGTAGGACAACTGTCGCTATCACTCCATAGTCATTTTCCTCCGATATATTTAAATTCACTCCGTCTGTAATAATATCGTCAATCGCCAATATTTCGTTAACCCCCCTGCATTTGTGTTAACTATATGCACTCTCTTTTCAATGGTCACCTCCAAATCATCGTGCTGAATCATACCTCGCCCCAATAGACATGACGCATTCATGGTATTTTCTGGGACTACATACAAAGTTAGTGGCACTTCTGCCCCATACTCCGGAAACGTCAACCGTAGTTTTGCAATACGTTCAACATCTAACCTCGAAGGGTTAATGCCCTCGAACCCGGCTTTTGTGCTCCATGCCTCCACTGGTGTTCCATTAGGCACACAAGATCGCTTGGTAATCGATATTACTGAACCCGAGTCTATCACACTCTCAAACTACACGTCAAAAACCTTTGTTTCAACCTTGTAGGCCGGTATGGGGTTTATTAATAGTGTAGTGCTATCCGGCGCCACCTGCGCCGTACTGCGGACATTTTTGCAAAATCTCTGTTGATGCTTCGTTAAGCCACAGTTGTAGCACGCCACTCCATCATTTTTTGGTTTCATACATCTGGATGCCATATGTCCTACTCCACCACAAATAAAACACCTCACCGGGGAATATGCACCGTGTGGTTCCACTCTAGGGAACCCTGTTGGCTGTATCCTCTTAGGTGGCATCATATTGAATCCGCGTTCCTCCGCTGTCAGCTCGTTCATCACACTTAGCAGGGTCGCTAAATCTTTGAATTGGTTCATTTTGGCTTGAGCCTAGAGTGGCGGGTTGTCGAAGCCGTCTATCATATAGGCTAGCAGGCCAGACTCGATAAAACCCAACCTATTCCCTAGCGCCATCTTCTCCTGGAAGTATGCGCTAAATGGTTCTTGTTTTCCCCACCTCCGAGACTCGAACCTTCTCATCCGAGTCATCGGGTCTTCTCTATTCTTGAAAAATGCTGTTAGCGCCCTCTTAAGCTCATCATATGAAGAGGTTTGCTGCTTGCTGTCATATAATTGTCTCGCGCGCCACGAAAGCTTCGATATCATCAGCACCACTATCTTCTTCTTAGCCACCTCGTATGCGTCACGCACGGCCTCAACGCGTTCAAACCATGTCTCGATGCATTGATCACACGATCCGTCGAATACCGGTATCGTCGCTAACAATTCGCTGCTCGAGATGCTCTCGTTTTTATCACCGATTGTCGCCCTAATAAGAGTAATAAAATCTGTCAACGATAGCACTCTTAAGGCTTCTGGCACCGAGCTCTCAGCATCACCTCCGGTAGCCATTTTACCAAATCTTAATTTATTTTCGCAATCTCAAGTTTTTAGTTACAAATGTCGCAGCTCTGCGACTCGCCAACGCCAATATCACGCCATGCTTTCGATCTTTTCTTCCACTTTGTTCTTATTTTACTTAACCACGTGTTAACTTCACTTCTGCACAACCACACAAAACTTACAAAATAACACCTGCACTTGTACGATAGAGTAGCACATCTTGCTTTCTATCGCACCCCGTAATTATAATCCGCCTGATTAATAACACGGGCACCCCAAAAGATTATTGAAATCGCCTATCTCAATAATTCACTCCAAAATGTTCTCGAATAAATCCTCGACGTTCCGATCTAATCCCACTTCTGAGCTTTAAACTAGATTTACTCTAGTATTATTTAATTAATAAAACACCTTATTACTTCTTTACAAATATATTTAATAATCATTCACCAAGTTAACACCACGCCGAAATATACAACACTCAACAAGTTACCGCCAGACACCGATTCGCACACAGATACACACTTCTGTTCCATAAGGATCAGACACCATGCATATACACACCATAGAGCACACACATTTCGGGAAAGTACCCTGAAAGTATATAAAACATTACATAGTATAAAGTAATATTTTAAATAAGAACAACTCAAATGCAAAATATAATTTATTGATAATTATGATTTGGCCAATTCATTATCGTCGTATGCTCTGATAGAAAATTGTTAATGCCATGCCACATCAATTGATGTATTAAACTAATTGCGATTTCTTTTTGTTTCGGATTCATCAATTCGAGAGTTTTTCCGAAATTTCTTGCATTTTCATTTCTCGAGATTTTTCCTGTTCTATTTTATCCATGTGTTGTAGAAGTTTGTCTGTCAACTGGTCTCGTTTTGTTTCCTTACGACGAAACGAGGTCGTCGGCATTTCATCAATCTGCTCGAAATTAAAATACATTATATATATATATATATATATATATATATATATATATATATATATATATATATATATATATATATATATATATATATATATATATATATATATATATATACATATATATATTTTGTTAATTGTAAGATTACTAATTTAAAATGTCATTTGATAAAAAAAAATACTCACGTCTGAAAGTTCTTCTAATTGCTCTTCTGAACCTCTGCACAGAGACCTCATGTTTCGGTAGTGTCGATCATCTAAAAATTTAAGATGATCAAAGTAACAGAGTTTTGGCTTGTAGACGTTTTGTGCGCTACAGCCCGAGGGCATAGAAGCTTTTACCTAGAATAACATACTGTTAGATTAACACAGTTCAAATCATCTAAACTAACAATTAGTTTTGATAATATTGTCTTATATTGTGAAGTTTTTAATATTATTAAATACCTTGTTAACCTTCTTGTTAAAAACGCTCCTAATACTTTTAATTTTTTTAGCCACTGTGGCTATAGTTGCATCTGGATTAATTTCTTTAAATGCCGGCAGCATTGAATTTAACGCATTATTGCGCATTTATTTATTATGATATGCCTCGTCACTTATTGACCACAAACAAGTATGAGCTTTGTACATTTCTATAAATTTAACTATGAAATTTTCTGAATCCATATCTATAAATCCATCAAAATTGTTATCAATAATTGTTCAGAATGTGCTAATTATAACTGAATATATAACTAAAAACTAATACGTACCTATATTTTCCTATTCAGATTTCTAACTAATAGAACTTTCACACTTTCATACTTTCACACGATTATAATAGTCAAACTAAAATAATTTTAAGCAATGCAATTCTTCAAAAATAAATATAATATTGAATTTTTTTTAAAAAGTTGTCCGTTTTTAATTGCACCTCAAAAATATGAGTCATTGGTTTGGAATTTAATTTCACTTATGAAATCCACATTGCACGACTCTTTCTCGTATCTGCATTATTGTAAATGTAGACGTATATTCCAAAATTAAAGACCATGTTTCAGTTTAAAATTAGGTTCTAATATAATGTAAATCGTGAATAATTAGTTATAACTGCTATTGGTCTACATTTGAACAATATTTTGAGCTATATATATTTGCGACAAAATTCATTCCAAATTCATCTGTTGCAACTGTACAACATTAATTTAATATAAATAAGTTTAATATAATTTTTATATAAAAAATAAATGTTTAAATAAAATGAAAACAAACAAAAATTTACAACAAAAGTCGATTTTATCACATTTCACGTTCGAAATATTCATACTTTTGTCTCTAATGTTCAAGAAATATGAATGAAAATCTGTTCGATCGTCTGGGACGCCCAAAAATTTTTACATTGGACATTTATTGGTCACACCGAGCTAGTTTCGCGAGTGAAATCACGTAATATTCTCTGCTAAAACTTCTCTTTCAATAAGCGGGATGATCTTCAAGCAAACATATGATTTCATAAACCATTCGTTCATAAATTTGATTCCATAAATGTTGGTCTTTGGTCTAAACTGTCGACAGAGTTCAAACTGATTCTATGACTACGATTTCTCGGATAAACGCCAAAATATTTTTTTTTTTTCAATATAAAAATTTCGGCTATAAATTGAGATTTTTAATATACTCTACGTCCTAAATGAGATCCACATGTGCACGATGAACAAGACTAATTTTAAATCGGTTCAGTATTTTAGGCGTTCATCGCAGCCAAATAACGTGACACTAACTGTATATATATTAAGATATATATTATTAATGCAAATCTGTATTTGCTTTTTAGTCTTAGGGCTGTCGGTTTCATAAAAACTAAAAGTAACAAGAAGGGCAGCGAGCGCTTGCAAAATTATTAAATTATTCTTTCATTGATAGTCGGATTTTAAGATTTTAGTAAACAAAAATGACAAGAGGAAATCAAAGAGATTTAGCACGAGCTAAGAATCAGAAAAAACAAACCGAATTAGCCAAGAAGAAAAGTAGCGCAGATAAAAGGGAATGACATTCGAGCAACGCAAACACAGGGATGCTAAGCTGATGCGTGAAAAACAAAGAAAAAAAGAGCAAGAAGATGCCGCAGCCTCTGGTAACAGTTAATTCAACAAAACACAAATATTTTCGAGAAGAATGCTTGTGAAAAAAAATAGAACTAACTTACTTACTACACGACTAACATTATTATGAAATAACAAATTACATATATCAAGTTATTGAACCTCATAAGGCTTTGGAATTTCAATGAAAAGGTTTTATTTTCAAATTTTTTATTGAACATTTTGGGCACACAGTTTGTCGCCTTTCTTAGCAAATGCTCTGCAACTTTTCTTTAAATATTACTTGTTAATTCAAGAGTTTATCTGATCATGGATTGGAACTAGATCTTCTCGTTTACTGTGTTAAAGCACAAGAAAACATCTATCACACAGCACATACATAGAAAAAAGTTCGATTATATATTAAAACTTGGCAAATCTTGAAGATCGTTCGATCCCAGGTCAAAATTTTGGCATATGGGTTGAAAATGTATCGTATTTATTTTTTCTCAATGAAATAAATCATCTGAAATTATGAATATTCAATGAATTAAAAATGGAATTAAGGTTAAAATAATATTTATTTCACCGACATTTGTTATATAATATATTTAATATAATTGAAAATTTAACTTACAAGTATACAATAAACATAACCTAACAAAATAATACAATAAGAATCTAACTAAATAATTCAATAAACCTAACTAAATTTAAAACCTGTCTTCTGTTCTTCTCTTTATTTCTAGTGTAACTGCTCTGTGCATGACGAAGCCATTCTCTGATATAATCACCTACTTGAGCCTCCGACACTCGAATATCATTATAAATAGTTTCGGCTACAATCTCTAAAATTATTATTGGTTTAAAAAAATTAATACAAATATTTTATAAATAGAAATGAATTAATAAATTAAAATCAGACTTTTATATTGTATAATGATTTATTTATTATATTTAATGAAAATTTATGAATATTATTTTATTTTAAAGCATTCCATACTTTCGTTTTAGAATTTTCAATATTGCTTCTTCAATTTGTATAATTGGTTCTTGGAACTTCAATCTATCTTTTCGGATTTTTTCTAATATTGTTTGCCTTTTACGGCGCTGCTTTCTTCTTGAAGTTGCAATATGTTCTCGAAATTCATATGCACTATCATCCCGCGCTTCTGCATTGTTTTCCATTTTATGTACATCATTTGTTTCCAGTATACAGATTATTTTCATATTGTGGCTATTGCCATATATTTCATCACTCTTCTGCATACTGGAAATTGAAATTTCCTTGTCCTATTAGACATAATTGTTAATATGTATAAATTATTTTATATATTTTCATCATTATTCGTATCAGTAGCTTGACTGTCAACATATTTTTTATAATTTCGTTGAAGTACTCTCCAACGATTTTCAATATTCAGTAAATGTAATGCCAAATTTAATATTCATGTCATTTTTGATGACAATCCACATAGCCCTCACTGTTCTCATTTCTAATGAACCAACATTTGGCTTATATTTTCTAAAACATTCTATTAAAAATGCTGTTCTCTCAAGCCCCAAACACCATCTTGAACTCCTACTGCTCCATTAGGTAATATCAAAAATTCTTCTAGTTCTATAAAATAATATATATTTAGCAAAATGAGAAATTAATAAGAAGTAACAATTTATTATTATAATAAAAAATTATTATGTATATATATATATATATATATATATATATATATATATATATATCTTGTTAAGAACTATTATGTATTTATTATAATATTTTATGTTTAACACATTTTCATTAAAATATGTTTGTAATTTAATCTTGTATGTTGGTACCATTTATATAAAACTTATAAATCGACCCATATCCCACAATAAGGGCCGAATCAGGTGAAAACTGATTATTATTGAGCGCGAGTTAGTTATGTTTGAACCGCCAACAAGTACAGATTAAAAATATCAACACCCAATAATGTAAGTTACAACAAAAAAATTTATAAATCTTAAAAATGTTTGTTTTTTACATATCAAGAAGAGAACAAATAATTATATCTCTTCATTTGGTGGCAGCTAATTACGATACCTACTCCGAAATCTATAATAAAATAATAAAAAAATGTGTGTTTGAAAACAAACTTCAACTAGTGAATTCAAATTAAGTGTTATCAAAATTGTGGTGATAATATTGGCGCGTTCCTAAATAATAAACGAGATAATAATTAATTATTCTACAAATATCAATCAATAACTAATAACTGTAATAAATAAAACCTAAACTATGATAAATAGTACTCCAGTATAAATACAACAATAATAAACAAATCATCAAACTATGGGGCGCATGGCATCGTGCCTAAGGCAAATTGCTGGAACTTCCCGTACCAAATTTTTTTTTTTTTTTTGAAAAGATTAACATTTTTGAAAAAAATTTACTCTAAAAAAATAGATTTTTGAGGAACTATATGAAATTTTTGACAAAAACTTACTTTTTGT